ACAAAAAGATTTTCGAAGTTCCTCGACTGTCCCCATATTCGGCAAACCGTATCGACTCATTTCGTAACGAAGTTCATCCTTGGTTAACGTGTGAATCCACCCAATTCGCGGGTCATCCTCTGAGGGACTCTTAGACGTCAACGTACGATCAGTCGTAGTAAGTAAATTTAAAGTCGTTGGTACCATTAACTGTGTCGTCGTTGTACCTACTTGAGGCTGAGTAGCCTCTGCGGTCGTAGCGGGAAAACTTAAAGTCGATGGCACAGTTGGTTGTGAAATAGTTTGCGCTACTTGAGCTTGTAAAGACCCGGCAGTTGTAGTCGTCGTAGTCGAGGTCGATTCAGTCACCGCTCTGACCGTTTTAGGCGTAGTTTTCGCGCTAACACTCGATCCTACCATTTTCGCTTTTTCTTATATTCCAAAGAAAAAACCACTACGATATCGATTTTACCGTTCGGGCGCCAATACGTGAAGCACGTATGAATATTACGATAATAACGAAACTTTCAATGTCCCTGTTCGGGCGCCACTTTGTGAGGTGTTTATGTCGGGTAGGGCACCTATCGTAAACTTACCTCCGATTTGCTCGGACAGCTCGAGTAGTCCAGGGTCTCGCTGACAATCCTCGTCGCTCGCTTCCCACTTCTGGATCTTCGTAGACGTTAATGTCGCGCCGATCTGCTAGTACACAAGTACACACTGTGTACCTCGGCACGTCGACGCACCGTACACGAGTTGCTATTAAGGAATACACTAACTATAGTTACTCCTATAACTTGGTGTCAGCACAGCGACGCGCTGACAAGGCCAAGTCTAAGCTAACTACTAGGGCTGATAGATAAATAGGCGACGATTAGGAAATAAAATAAATAACCAGCTCCTAGGCTTAACGAAAGATCTCACTTCTCGAAATAAAACTAAAAATAATCTTCTCGGAATTAAAAGAAAACGACGCTAACTCGCGATAAGTAAATAAGGAAATAAAACAAAACGTAGAAGGCACCTAGGCCAATTCTTCTTGGCTTTAAGGAAAATAAATAAAAACTCCTGATTACAATAAAACAAAACCACTTTGGATGACTAAAAGTCGGCGTACGTGACTGCGACACTACACTCGCAGCGTCGGTCGATAAACTACGTTATTCTATAATAAACTACGATAAACGTCCTAGAATAGCCTAATAAATAACGCAATTTCCCTCGCCAAAGTGGATACGGGGATGAATACAACGTATACGCTAGCTATATACAGTGTACTTACGTAACACGACACTCCCAGATTTGCATCCAGGTTACTCTCGCCTTCGTCCGGATACCTTATTATTTGGTTCGCTCGCACGGCCTAAGGAGGGTTGGTTGGTGTGCGCGAACCTAACGCTCGACGCCGACTGTCCCAAGAACTGTCCACTGTCCGCTGGTCTCGGCTTCTCCCCACCACGTCTACGGCAGCGCTTCAAGGTGACAGCGGCCGAGTCTCGAACTAGGAGACATGACCAGCTGCAGTGGACATGTGTGACATTGTTGTCAAGCGCGCTCAAGCCTTCGCGGCCTTTAAATAATTAAAACGAACCCCCCAATAAAATGTGACCATTACAGTACCTCGTCAAAGTGCTCTGTAGCATCCAGGCAGCTGGACAAGAACAACTGGTCGAAGTAGGCCATTGGGTTAAGTGGAATAATTGTGGCATCTCAGGATCAAAAATGCTCTAAAAAATATAATTATGTGTGAAGTGCCATGGAAATTAGTGAATATTGTGAGTAAAACTTTGGGCCCTGCTCACCCTTTGTACCATACATTTGGTCGAAGGTGCTCTTTTCTCCTTCCCTCTTAGGAAGAAGCCTCCATTTGATTGTTTTTATAACTTATCTTTTCTAAGTGGTTGATTCATGGGATGTTGTATGTTAGTTTAACTTAAATCTTCTCTATTTTTATTTCAGACCATTACCTGATGGTAGCGACACGACATTGGAACCTGATACTGAGGGACCCAATAGCGAGGCTAAAGGATCATTTAATTCTTCGATGCTAGAAGAGAGAAACGACGAGTTTGTGTAGACTGTTGAAGATTGTATATTTTAAATGTGTTTTAATAAATTGTTTAAATTGTAATACGATTTTCTTGTTGGACCTCTGACTTAAATTTATCAAATATTTTTTTAATTAACTTTTATTAATACAGACTATTTAATGCAGTGCTGAATTTTAAACCTTCAGTTTTATTTTTATCTTTAAATTTAAATTTTACTGAATGTACGGTTCCCTATGTATTTAAATCTTGAATGTCGACTCAAATAGTATAAACTTAAATATTGTCAGTGTTAAGAAGTTGTGTTAAGGTACTGTTAGTTATTAGTTCTAATAATTAGCAGAATTATTGAATAAAGTAATAATAATTTTTTCAGTAAATCGCCCAAATTGTTTAAACAATTTGACATGAAAACCCCTGCCGCAGCAAACCTGCCACTAAGCAATTTCTATTTGTCTGAATTGATTTTTTATTTAGGCTATTTTAATGACATTAGGTTTATAATGACTACCTAGGATTGCTGCAATAAGGAAACTAATAAAGTGTATTTTTTGTAAAATATTACAGTAAATAGCTTAGTATGAAATGAATAAATTTGCCAAGTTTGATAAAAATATATTTATAATCACGCAAACTAAAACATTTTACAATTTCTCCATAAAAATAACAGAAAATTTAAATTTACATTTTTTTAAATTTCTCCGTTACCAATGACCCTTTAAAAACACTTTGATATACAAAATTATTTTATATTTTTAAGCTCTTTAAAGAGGTCGAGAAAGAAATTGGGAAATTTTGTGTTTTGAGGGTCAAAAATTCGAACACTATTTTTTTTATGTGTGTACAGATAGAATTAACTAGTTTCTACCTTAACGTTTTCAGGAATTTCTTCAGCACAGCGCTAGTTTTGAATCTGATATCAAGAACCAGGTGAATAATATTTTTCAGGGTTTTAGCATACATACTTGATACATGCATGATACCTAAAAAGTACCTAAATAACATTTGAAATTTGTTTTTTTACCTATAAGGTAGGTATCATATAGGCTTCTATCAGGTAACAGGTACATATTTGATATGTATTGATGATACCTAAATAGTATTTGAGATGGACATTTTCACTTATTAGATATGTATTTAAAAGGTATCATATAGGTATTGCAACGTTAAAAATACATATCCTTAGTTTCATGGATACCTATCTGATACCTATATAATACATATTTGTGCTATATGGGCACAGAAGCGCTAGTGTCTAAAATTCTATTTTATACCTTATTTTTTGTTGCTGACCAGGTTAATGGGTCATATCAGTTGCTATAACTCATCATAAGTCATTCCCTAAGTTTGAGTTGTCAAGTTTAAGTCACATCAACTACGACGATTTTGATCAAAAAAGCTGGCTACAAATGGGGATGGAATGTCTTCCTACATAGTACATGCTAGTACGCTGTTACCTGCTTTGTTACTATGTGCTATGGAATTGAGCTATAATAATACACTACATTTTCGGACAGGAAAATACAGGTTTAACTTTTTAGGTACTCTTACAGATTTTTGTTTAAGTATTCCCAGTTTCAAAGAACAATTTATAAATGTAAGTTTACCTTTTGGTAGCGTTGTCCAGGTTCATCGTTTTTGAATTTTCAACAAATAATAACACTGTGCTAATGGTGATGATAATGCAACATAAGTGTGCTGAATTGTATCAAGCTGAAAATTCAATAACATGCGTCAAGAACCTGGCAATGCAAACAAAGAGGTAAACTTACATACTTAGGCCCATATCATACGAGCGCTATTGCCGCCACGTCGTTGATGTCGTCATGTTGATTCCCCTCCAACCCGGCAATGGTTCTTATGGACCTAGTCATACGGACGCGGATGCCGTCGACGAATCCGCGTTAGCCGGACGCTGAGCACTGTTTAACGCGGACGGTCGCGTCAGCGACGCAGCGCGGCGCTAGTGACGGGGGGATTTGTCATGGAGCGCTAGCGTCAGCGGGATGCATTTGCCACCCGACTACAAAAAAAAACCTACTGGAAGACCTTTTTGGAGTGATCATCAAGTTTGATACACAACAAATGTATTTATACAATTAATTGAAACATTTCCTCCTCCTGTAAGAACTAAGGAGTTTCGTTAAGGGAATCAACTGACATTCTACAGTAACTGAAGGATATCCTCTTCATATTTTTATTCAATTGTTATGTCAAAATCATGAATCAAGATTCAAGAAGTGAAGGATGAGATTACGCTCTTCTTAATGACGCCGGCTTTGAATGAAACTGACTATAGACTTCTCATCCCATTGTAAATTTTGAAGCACGTTTTTCGTGTCTAGTTCATGTACGTGACACAAAGGCGCTAGTGTCGATGAAACTTTGTTTCCATTATTTTAGGGTTAATTTCTTGATTTGTGCTTTACTGTTTGGTTATATAACTAGGGTACAAGTTATTTTTTATGATTAGATCGTATTATTAGGTTAATCGAGGTTTTAAATGGCTGTAATAACGGGAAACAAATTGTAAACAAAACACGACCTCTACATAAACCGTACACGAACTAACAATAAAATTGTCTTCAGCTGGAACAGATTTTTATATAAGGATGAGAAATCTACTAAGAGAGTATGTTTTATCTATGCTAAGATTAGCTAGTTTGTTAGTCAGGGCCATTTTTTTACAGCTAGCTTGTAATTTACAAAAAGCTTCCGACTTTTTACAGGGTGGACTCCGAATTGAACACTGTCACTACTGACAGTCACGATGCAATTCTTGTACTGTGCAAAGCTACTAATGCTACTATCCTATATGAGAAATTACTTTTTAAAATGGAATAAATATATTAAATGCGTTTTTTGTGTATATTCACGGCCGCCAAAGGTGGCTGTGGTGTACTGCACATTTCTTACAGTATCATCATCCTCTTTTGTCCAAAGGTGTTCTCCGGAAATTCCAATATCCTCTATGTGAAATTGTAGTCGTAGTCTAACAGACGCATCCGTTACTAATAATAGTTACGTGATCTTTTGCCATATTATCGGTTATCTGATTGTTGCTGAAAATACGGTAAGTTAGGTACAATATTGTTAACTCCTAAAATTGGTTAAAATTATAATAATACTTAAACGTTTTAGTAACCTTCCCAACCATTGTGTTCTCAGCAAAATTGTTTGTGGTCTAAAATATGGTCTTGTTTTGTTCCAGATTTTTGGTGGGCCTGCCAGTGTCCCACCAGTTCCGATAAATTTTTACGTGATCTGCAACTCACATATTTTGTCCTGGTATTCTGCTACCGTCCCGAAGGGCGTTACCATTTTATATGAATTTTCTTAGCCACAAAGGTAAGAACTCAATGTCATTTCAAGGACTGTTATTTTAAGTAAGTTAGGTCTACTTAGTTGTGAGCTTAACCTATTTCTCTACTAATAGGGTACTGTAGGCAATAATGGTTGAAGACAGTGATATTGCATGTTACATCATTCATTGTCTACTCCATTTTAAGCTGCAATAAGTTAAATGTAGCCTACTGTTATTTTATATTCAAGCGATGGAAAGCAGGCTTGGTATTTAATTTAAAGGCTAAAGAAGTTTTCAAGGAATTTTTATGAGGCGGAACTTGGTCTTGGCCTACTTTGCTTAGAGGGTGGGTTAGATTTTCTAGACCGTGCTGACTAGGTTAGACCTGGGTAGACTTTCAGAAGAGGGGCCATAAACAACCGAATGACCTATCGATCCATTTGATACTCCCTAACTTAAATAGGCCCTACATCAATTTTGGTAAGTTAGGTTAACCTAACCTAACCAACCGAATGAGATAATCGATATACAGTATATCAAATAACTTAAGTTTAATTGATAACTTAAGTACGATATTTTCATACAGTGGTAATTCTGAGCAATTACTTGGTCAACCCCAAACTTTTCCATAGGCTATTTTAAGTTTACTACGGTCATAAGTATGTTCTCAGAAACATACGGATAATTCAAGGTTAGGTTAGGCTAGGTAATGTTACAACCTGACATAACGGTACTGTCACAACTGGCCTTCCGCGCGTCTCCCGCAAGCCACTGTTATCGTGTGGACTTTGAACCTTCTTATCGCTCGGCAACCTGTACAATGGCCTTGCGGGCCTTGGATTATATTATGTTTCTTGTTTTCTGAGAACATCCTTATGACCGTAACTTAGTAAAATATGAAAAAGTTTCGGGTTGGTTAACCAAGTAATTGCTCAGAATTACCCATACGGTTGTTTTTAGCCTCACTTATGAAAGTCTACCCCTGTCCCCTAGGCCTACTTTTAAGAAGACACTGCTCTTTCATAATTAACTTTTAAAAGTTACAGTAAGGCTATTTAATCCAACCACCATAAACAAATAACCTGTTAAGTTAATGGTGGTACTTAAATAACCTAAGTTAACTTAAAGTGAAGTTAAGTAGGCCTAGGCAGTTAACTTAAGTGGGTAACTTACTTAATCGGATGAAATATTAGTTCAACATTAACTTATGAATTAGGTATGTTACTTATTTAGTCTACTTTTAAGTTAACTTACCTACTGGTATCTATTTCAATTAACGTGACCATAAAAATAGGGCTAACTTAACTACCTTCAAAAAGATAATTTAAGCGCTCACAAATATTATGAAAACTAACTCACGTCAGTTAAAAGTTTTGTTTACTGTGTAGGGCCTAAATCTAAAGCTACGATTATACTAGGACGCTGGGGCGCTAGAAGGGCATTAAATCAAATGGGGGCGATTATACTAGGGATGCCAGCGTCGGATGCTAAAAAAGCCACCGGACGCTCGATTTTGTGCCTCCCAGCTGAAATTGAAGCGTCCGGTGAGGAGCGTCCTCTCAATGTTGGCGAGAATTGAGTTGAATGTGTCGCCACCTCTGGCTGCCACACTAGATACGGGTGGTGACAGGTGATGCATGCGCTCCGGTCAATGACCTCACGTTGGCCTACTTGGAAGGGATTGGGCGAGCGAAAGTATACTCTGGTATTGGTTGATTCATTATGAAGCGAGGAAAGCTCTACAAACATATTTTTTATATCACAACCTAACATAACCGCCCGAGCGTGCTGTGTCAGGGTGGCCTCCAGATAATACCACAGTATACTACCTAACAAAGTTACTAACTTAAACAAATGTTACAAAAGATCAAATAAAACACCACAGCTTACCACTGATTTTTGCAGATACTGTACCTAAGTTATCAGATTTTATTTAGGCATATGGGAGGGGCGGTTTATGGGGATTCGTGACTATTGCGTTTTTTTGAAGTTAGGTTAGACTAGGAAGGTTTAAAGTGTAGAGTTTATACCCCACTGGTGGGGTAAAATTTAACACACTAAGTGAAATAAAAATTTTTATTTTACAGAAATTGTTAAATTCATGTGAGTTATTTCTATTTGGAACTAATTCTTCATTTAATGTTATAGATTCATATTATTTGTAGCGCTAAATGTTGCAAAGTTAATAGCAACATTAAATATTTGTTCGCTGCACGTGCAGTTCTCACACTCATTTTTGGTTGAGGAAGCTTATAGTCTTAAATTACCGGTATTATTATTCATTACTGTCTTATATAGGAAACAGCAATAATCAGTTGGGGTACATTTGAACAACATGCTTACCAGAGGGAAACATGGTCTTCAAATAGCCTTCAAATGGCCCTCAGACTCCTGTTCAAATCTACCCCACTAGGCACCATTTTGCAAAAAGTTAAATTATGTTTTCTTGAATTGTAATTTATCAATGTAAAATGCATAATTGTATCTAAATATGTACAAGCCATAAGGTAAATGGATCAAGCTTATCTGTAATGTAGTTTTTCTATGGAAAATTTACAAATCCCTACAGCTAAAAATTTTTCTTGTGGTGCTCTAAAACTTCTTTTCCCAACAACAAACTAAGAACTGATCAGAAATGGAGGGAGATGAATGCAACCTGTTGTCCTATTTGAGGGCTACATTTTACAGACTGGTCCACACTGGTTTACAGACAGTATAAAAATGTTGGCAAATTTAAACCATTCAAATGTGCCCCACTCTCCCCTACTTAATGAACTCTCAGTTGTAACTGTAGCAAAAATATTGGCCTAAAAAAATTAGGCCTACCAGTTAGCCTAACTTAAATAAATTACAGGTTTGAACATTACTGGTAAGTTAAGTTCAAAGGTACATCTTCAATTTTTTTTAGCAAAATTTTTAAGCTATAGCCTGTAAAAACCTCTTGGGATGCACAAAATCGGTTGTGGGGCATTGGTTCAAATGTGGCAAATTATACTAGGTGGCTAGCATCCGAGACGCTCTCTTTCGACACACGCGCAAAGATAGGGAATACACTATTACCATAGGTCGCATGGTAAGACCTGGACCCGGGGCCGATTTACTTTTTCGATTTTATGTCCCCAGAGGCCAAAAACACCATCCGTTCGTATAGATTTAAATATGGTATAATATATATGGCCGCAAACACCATAACTTGAGTAATTTGTGGCTTAAAGGTGAGGGTAGGATAAACTTCGGGAACCAGGATGAACAACAGACCTTTTAAACGGGTTTTTATGGGGTAAAAACTAAAAAAGGGTTTTGTAATTTTTTACCGACAGTACCGGTACCTAAAACAAAAAAAATCCCAATTTCTCTCTAGACAATTAAAATGAGCTTTTAAAAACAAATAATTTAGTATAATAAAGTGTTTTTGTACGGTTATTAGTTAGGCTACGGTTAATTTCAAAAAAGTGTAAATTAAAAATTCCCATTTTATTCTTATAGAAAATATTGTTAACTTTTGGAATTTGCTTGTCTATGGATATATTTTGATGAAACTTGGCCAATTTGGTTTATACTAAGCTATTAATACTGTATTTTACTAAAAACACACTTTATTAGCCTCCCTGAAGCAGCAAACCTGGGTAGCCTACTCGTTAAACCTAATGATATTTAAATAGATATATAAACAAAAAGTGACAAAACATTGAAATAAAATGGTAGACCGAGAGGCTAGCATCCCAACACAAATCACGTCGTTTTTTGCTCGAAGTGGGACGCTAGCCTCTCGAACACCAGCGTCCTAGTATAATCGTAGCCTTACAATTAGGTGTGAAGCAAATTGAGGGTTCTGTTATTTTGAATCATCAGTTATCTCTGACTTTTGCATTTAAACTTGTTCTGCGGTCACTATGCTGGGTATTCATCTTTGCTCTTCATCGTGAACATTTATTCATCCATTTTTTATTCAGTGACGCATTCAATCTTCAGTGATGATAATGTCCTATACACTTCATAAATTTCAATCAGTCCATTTTTTTCCTTTAAAACATTATTAAGTTACTGTACACACTTACATAGTTTGCCAGATTTTAATTAAGGCAAACATTTCAAACAGCCATTGTAACTAGACTTTCTCACATAAGTCCGCACGGGTGAGTACTACGACTATCCGCAGTAGGCCTACTATCCTGATAATTAGACCAATTCGTAAATACCAAGGCAAAAATGTGGTTCGGATTCCACAATAAACTGTAGGTCCCTTAGTTGCCATTAGCTGTATGGGCTATTAATTAACAGCTGTGTCTAAGGAATGTCGGCCTTAGTCACTATCAAAACTACAAGATCGCGCCACTCATCCTACACTTACCTCCATTCATACTTGGCTTAAAATACCTAGGCTTACATTGTATGGTCCCCATTTCATTAGAACAGTATTAACTTGATTCTGATTGAGCAACTTAGGCCTTTGTCCAGACACCAAGATTGCTACGTCTTGCAGTGGCATGTGGCTACGTTTTATTTTTTTGGAGGGGGGGTAAAGAAAGGGCCAGTATGAAATGGGAGGGGTATCGACAAAAACATAATTTACTTTCTGAATAGCCCGTATTTACTAGTTTCCATAGTAGCTTTTCTACTAGCCTATAGTTTTAAAAACTAAAACCCCTTTTTATAGATTTCCGTCTTTGGCCAATTTATTCAGACATCGTTGAACTTATTGACGTATGGTTCAAGATTTGATTTTTTTGTGCAAACTAAAGAAAAAATCTAGTACACCAGGCTAGAAAAGTAAGTTTTCGATTTTAAAGGCTGTCATTTGGTGTATTTATTTTCACGCTCCAGTAGGCTACATATTTTGAATTTTATACTTGATTTTAAAATAGTAAATAGTATTTTAAAGGAAATAAAATAATAATCCTGCAAATCAATTTTGTTAGTATTGTTGCTTAAAAGTAATGACTAACTTCTTGCCTGTAGAGAGACTTTGTAGCTGTAGATAAAAGTATTTCTTAGTCTTGCAGTAGATTTTTTCAGAGAAGTTAGAAGTTTTAAGGTACTTAAACAATAAGCTATAAGTAGGCTAGACGTAAATCTATGTATATTTTTTCTATGATGTGTAGTACAGTACACTCCTGATTAACTCAGGCTGTTCCAGGGTTATGTGATTTTTATTTCAAACTGAAATAAAATTAATCCAATATAGGCCTATGTCATCTATTGTGTCTGTTAGTCCCTTGTGCGTTACGATATTGTTCATCAGATTGCCATAAAACTTGTCGATTGGGGAGGTTGTCACGGGCAAAGTTTATAATCAGAAATTCTATATTCTATAGTGTGGGCCTACTTGTAAGGTTTAGAAAAATATTGACTTAGGGCTTTAATCCTATGAATTTTCAATGTGCCTATGAGGTGAATTTTGTAAACAGTTTTATTAAATAACACTAGTTTTAAAACAAACCAAGCAATCATGTAATCAGGTTGTTCAAGGTTAAAAAGAATTTACTAAAGTATCCATATCGTCCGAGGAGATGTAAAATAGTGAAGCAATATATTTGAACCTTTCACAACTAATTATTTCCTTAGAACAATCACTATTTTTTGTACAAGCTTAAAGATCTTAGATCACTCTAACATATGTCACTTTAGAAAGCATTCACTACTATTTCATTTTAATCATACAACTTAAGTTTATCGAAAGACTATTGAAGATGTTACTTAGCCTACAGGGGGGGGGATTCCACCCTGTACACAAGCCAAGCTACCTGTCAAAGCCGGGTGGGGGGGGGGGGGGTAAAATTTCACTCCAGACATAAATAATTTGATTTTGGCAGGAGGTACAATTCCGGGCCGTACATCTCCTGCTCTTTTTTATTTCTAATAACTATCCGGTTCACTGACTTACCCAAATTAAATCGATTAGATTTAGTTAAAATCACAGTGTAGGCCCCTATATGGGGTGGAATTATACCCCCTCCAGGTGTGACGTCGACGATCATTGGGAGGTCAAATTCCGGCGACCCATTATTTTCAATTTACTTTACACAGAAGTATATGTTATTTAATTACGTATATAATTAGGCTATTCTTTCCAACTTAAAATGACATTTTATATATTTATGCCTCTAATATATACACAGTGTGAGTTTTAAATGAGTTCCCCCCCTATCTTTTTCTATCTTTCTTAAGATAGAGGCCTAAAACAATTTGAGCGCTCGAATAATCAGGGCTTTGATGCTTGAGAGTGTGCTGTGATCTGTCAAAGTATTTTTTAGACTACTACCTTTAAAATAGTTGTCTCGGAACCAATCTCCAGCCAAATAGTAAAAACCTACTGAAAACCTACTGAAGGTAGGGCCTACTGAAAAAATGTACCTTATTTGGAAAATAGCGTATATCTAAAATATTACCGTATATCTAAATTTGTCGTAGATCCATTTGTTACCTGTTATATGAATCATAACAGTTACCTAACAACTGCATCTACGACAAATTTAAAAATATTGGTTTTTTAATGCTTGAATTAATAGTAAATATCTTTTTTGATTTACAATGAAAAACTAGAAATTAAGGCTGATTGACATGAATATGAATAATGTGTGATCAAGGTCATGCTTACACTTTCAAACTAGTCTAATACTAACCAAGCATTAATACCACTTTTTGCATTAAAAGTGAAATAATTCATAAACAATTTAATGCCAGCAATTGTAACAGAAATGTAGCCTAACCTTAGACAGCGTGTCCACATTATGGAAAGTCAGGGATAGTCATGGAAAGTCATTGAAAAAAATTATGGTCATGGAAAGTCATGGAAATCCCCAATGATGGATGGATTTCAGGGGGGACCTTTCAATGCTTTAGTCGGCCGTAACCGCGACTATTTTAGCATTTTTCCATGACTTTCAATGACCATAATTTTTTTCAATGACTTTCCATTGAAAAAGAGGTGAAGCTTGGAGGGGAATAGTGGTGTGGCGGGGGAAGTGTCGCTATGCGAGGTGACGATCGGCTCGTCTCCTACCCCCACCATGGATTTCCCCGCTTTAGACCGTTCCCGCCGAAAATCTCAGGCTTCACCTTGTTCTGCACGACCTCTACCTATTTTACTACATTGTTATCTGTTAATACAATATATTTCAATATTTTCTGTGAAATAACTTGTCTAGGCAGTATTATTCATGTGTGTACGGTATATTATAATTTTTGAGTTAAGTTCATGAGTCATGGAAATCAATGGGTAATGGTCATGGATAGTCATGGAAAGTCAGGGAAATTGATGACAAAATTTCTGTGGACACCCTGTTAGATTACCTTAAAACCAGTACTATTCTCAATACAATCCTCCCTTACTAAGCAAACGGGGGAAAAAAATGTAGCAACTCAAGTAAAACTTTAAGTGCACTAAGTGCTTTTAAACACTGTATTGAAGCATGTAAATAAAATCAAAATAAAAGAAACGTGTGCATCCCAATCATGAGGTGGTTTTCTTATTGTAAGGTTTTGCTAAACCTACATCAAATAACCAAAGTTATTATAAATAGCTAGCCTAATTGGTAATCATGTTTATAGTTGGTTGAAATTACTATCCCCAATTGTACAGTCATGTAGGCTTGAGCAAACCAGTGAATATTACTTAGCCATCCTTGACTTCATGGATGGTCGGACATGGAAATCAGTTTGGGTTAAATATAGCTGCAGAGGCAGCAAGTTGACCTTGCAAAAGACGGGACGTTGCACTCCAGGAACAGCTTCTTGGTTTTGGCACTATTTTACTGTAGACATGTTATACAGCCTCTGCACAATGGTTTTTCCAATACTAGTAAAAGGAATGACTTGCTTGCCTTTTTCAAATCTTTGACATGGGAGGTTTTTATGGGGGTTTACATTTGTAATTTTTAGTTTGATTCAAGCTATGTCATAGGCCTATGTATCTCGAGATGATATTTTCTTATTTCAGCCAAAGTAAATTTTTTAAAAGGAAAATCCTCTCGTCAAACCATCTTGAAGGATTAAATATTGCTCCAACATAATCGTAAATCCATAAAATCTCATCCATTAGAATAATTCACGCTTTATGAAGTTTTAAATAGAAGACTGTAGGGAAGAAAATGTTTAAGTGGCAAAGAAATTTAATTTGTTTAAAATTCCTCAAATGTTGTAAAAAAAGGTTTATTGTAATCATTTGTTTAGTTATCTTTAAACAGTGGTGTTTAAGTATCACTTTTCATCAAGGGGACATCTGTCTAAACGCTTTTCCCCTTTTATATATCTTGTAAAGATGTTATGTGAGCAGAATAGTATATTTCATTACTAGGACCGAAAGTGGCATTTTCCGGAGCGCGCTCAAGTTTTTGTGTGAGGCGAAGCCGAACACAGGAAAATCCAATTTCACATGCGAGGCGAAGCCGAGTATGTGAGAGCTATTTTCACGTACGAGGCGAAGCCGAGGACGGGAATAATGGAGCAAGAGCCGGAAAATAACTTTCGGTACGAGTTATGAACGATACTTTTCATCACGACGCAAAAATACACAAACACAGAATAACAGACCTCAGTAATATTACAACTAGTTTATTTCTAAATTATTTATTTTAAACATCAAAATAAAATCTTCTAAAAGGAAACCTTTGTATATTTCTCGATTAATCTTTTTTTAAACATAAAAAAATCTAAAGGGAACCTACTTAACAATCAAAAAATTAGAAGTTTATGGTTATGTTTATTGTACAGTTTTCATTGTTGGAGACATTCACTCCTTCGTTTAAAAGTTTTTTCTGAAGTTCTTGAATCGTTGAAACGTTTGTAGTGGTCGTGTTTGTTTCATCAACTTTTCTTACTTTTCTCTGAGGACATTCTTCATCTTCTGAGTTGTTAAACACATGATCAATGTCAAAAAAATCTATTTGGCTTCCTGAATGTGTTTTTTCTACAACATTTCTGTTTGTATTCTCAGCAGCTGTTGAACTCATTGCATGCGGATTTTTAAACAGTTTTCTTGACAGTTGTAATTTTCTTCCAATGGAATTTTCTATGTAACTCTCTGCGACATTAGAGGATTTCCAACCTCCGTGTGATTTAAGGGCAAGTAAATCCCCTCCTCCCTCAACTAGCATGGTGGCTGAGGTACGCCTGAGGGCGTGTCCAGTATAGCGCTCCGGTTCGTCTAATTTAAGGTATTCTGCTACCTTTTTTGGGATTGAACTGATTGTGTGACCCCCTACATTTTGTCCCACGCATTTACCCTTCCTGTAACCAATTAAAAATCGGTTACTTTTCATTTGTCTGGGGCGCAATAACAAATATTTGCGAATCAAATCACATGGTCTATATGGACAGTTGTCATTGGTTATGGTAAAACTGCGTTTAATGTGTGTTTTGCCATCGTTGAGAAACACGACAAAAAAACTGCCATTGTCTGTAATATCTTCTACTTTTAAATTTATAAGATCGTGGTTTCGACAAGCTCCATAAATACCGAGCGTTAGGATGACTTTGCTCAATAGCCATTCATTGTCAGGAGCGTTAACCATGAATCTTTGAATTTCGTCTTCAGTAAAAACCTTAGCTTTTGTAGGTTGATAACCCACTGATTGACGTTTAAGAAATGCTAGAGATTTGTTAAATTTTGATACATCCACATTTTCTTTTAATTTCAAACCACTCTTTATCATAGAAAATTTACTCCACAACGTTGTTGGTTTTAGATTTCTCAGATAAATATACTAATAAAACTTCGTCACTTACATTCTTTGGTAAAACATTGTGTCCTTGGCACCAGTCCATAAACT